GTTTCAGCTATGGCAAGTAGGAATGATTGAAAATCAAATGGAAGCCATTAGTGAGGATCCCTACTACATTCAAAATTAAAATGGATATGGGGTTGATAATGAAGGACCAATAACAGAAATTGTTATCAATAATAATGTGGTCATTCCAGAGACTGCCGACAATTTTTTAGAACTGGAACAGCAAATTTAGTTCCAGATCCTTTGGCAGATGATGGAAGACATGGGATTGGCCATTATCTAACAATTCGATCATATTTAAAAAGGCATGTATGATGTAATTATAATACGAGGGTTGTTTTTTTTTGTCCGATAGGGTATAAAAATGAAAGTAATGTGTGCAACAAAATACATTTATTACCAAAAGTTACATCTTCAGTTATTTTTCAACATAATTACCGTTTTCATTGGAACACGTGTCATATCGGTGGACCGGCTTTCCAAAATACTCTGCAAGGAACGTTGCCGCCAGTGAACTGAGATGGGTTTTCAGTGTTTTGAAGCTCGTCCCTGGTTAGGTCTGCCCTCTTATAGTCACTTCATTAGCTTTGGAAAAAGATGAAAGTTACTTGCCTTAACTTGATCAGTAAGCTGGATGATAAAAAATATTCTACTGAAACCTGTCAAGCAGCTAGCACTGGGAGGGTTTCAAAGGGAAATTTTGGACTATCCAGTTGGTGACAAGCGATTCTCACAGTTTCCCAAAGCTAAAGAGGTGGCTAGGAGAGCAGACCTTCCTAATTGGAGACGAGTTTCAAAACACTATGCTATGAAAACCCATTTCATTTCACCGGCAGCAACGTTCCTTGAAGAGTATATTGGAAAGCCGGTCCACCGGTATGACACATGCTCCAATCAAAACGTTAATTATGTTGAAAAATAACCGAAGATGTATGTATGTAACTTTAGGTAGTAAATTATTTTATTGTACACATTACTTTCATTTTTATACCCTATCGAACGTTGCCCTCATATAAACTAAACTTAAAAAGCTACTTAGATCTGTATGTAGATGTAATGTGTTGAAGGTTAAAGAAAAGTTACCTTATGTTTGTATTATTAACCATAATCATATTTCAGTTTCCTATTTTAGGATTTATTCATTTACAATATTTTATGAATACATTGTTTGAACAAACAAAAAATAACATTTTATTTTATACTTGGTGGACATTAATTATGCGAACGCAAAATCCTTTCAATTGGCAATTGCAAAATTCATGGATTCTTTGAAGCTTTCATAGGTTAAATGAACAACTGGAAGTTCCAGTTCCAGTGCGCATGTATTTGCTGTGGGATAAATGCTATTTTTCTCATGGCCGAATTTGATTTTGGGTTTCCACGGAAACCCTAAAGGAGGAATAGTATCAGCCCCTGTTGCAAACACCAGTATATCCTCCAGCGTTACATCCATTTCGCCACCTGAAAATTCGACAATATAGGCACAGCAGGCACAATAAACTAATATTGAGTACTAATTTATGCTTTAAATAAAATTATGATATGATCAAACTGACATACAAACTCACACACTGACATTTTGTGGGTGCATTTTAATAAATACTTTTATCTCCGCGCTCTACCGAGAAGCAGATTTTGCTCCCTCTTATGCAGGAGCAAAGTATGCGTTTACTACTTTCTGTGGGAGGAGTATCAAAAATTCCCTGCGGGAGGTAAGGTACTTTCCATGGAAACGTCAATTACTGTGTTCTGTAAGCTATATTCTGCACTTTGCTCCCTTGATATATAAATAGCTATTTTGTACTCCCTGGACTAAACCAACGTGTTTTGTCATCCATTTAAGGGACTAAAGTATCACTTTTACTCCCGGAGGGATTAAAATGCATAACGACGGGACGAAAAGTGACAGTACTCAATGTAATATCAAATTCAACTTAATAATAATTTGTGGTTACCTTAAAATATACCAGCTCCTGCACGGTATTTTAGAGTCAGTATGCCGTTTTACATATATCTTTTTGAATATGGGAGGTAGTACTTTCCTCATAAGACTTGTTCTGCAAAGTTTTAAACGACCAAGTCTGCGTCATAGTTTGGAACGCAAATATTTCAATTGAACAGACATTTATCATTATATGGTCGCAATTTAACATGACAAGGTACCTATATTGATTCTACAATCAATCAAATTTTTTACCTTTCAAATTTGGACTTGAACATTGAAATTGCTGTAGTGGATTATCGGAGTACAATAAATAGCGAATATACCACAGGACTAAAGTTTGTCCTAATTCCTCGGGTGATTGTTGCCCGAAACGTAGTGTATAATTTCCTCCCGCGGCCAATATTGCGACCCGACGCGTAGCTACCTTACGATCACACTTTGTTAGGCATATCAACTTACCTGTGATCACCCATTGTAATCCTAGCAATCGGCTATCAATAGTGACAAGTAATTTGCAAGTTTGCAAGTGTGCATTTCAGGTAAAATGAATAGCTTTGAAATGTTTAATAGTGACTATTCAATTCATCTAACATTTGTCAGATTTCAACCAGTGAAATGTCTCGATTTCAAATTGCTGCGCCAATGGGAACGAATTATAGTGATAATTGCACGTGTGGTATTTCAGCGATAATTTCACGTGTGGTATTTCAGCGACAATTCAATGCGATTATTCAATGACATTTGTCAAACTTCCACCAGTGAAATGACGCGAAATTTTGTTGTATTAACCGGAACATTCTTCTTAGTTTGTTAATCAATTTCGACAACCGACTTATCACCACATCTTTTAATTTAATCACTCATAACGAATTAGCTTGGAGCACAAAAGTTCGAATAGAATCAATAGCAAAATGAAAAGCAACCTCCATAATTTATTTTGACGTTTATTGTTGTCATGGAAATACATTCGCGTGGGTAATATATGCTTAATTTTTCTTTTGATTCATTGAATAGTCCTCCGAATACCATTCGTAGTCGAAGTATTTGTAGATTATTTTTGAGCTGCTGCTCCACTCATGCTAGTTACGCTTTATAATACCACTCGCGCAAGCGCTCGTGGTATTAATCAGCGTAACTAGCATTCGTGACAGCACCTCAAAAATATTCGACAATACTTCGACTACTTATGGTATTATATATGACAATTCAACTCATGTATAAAAAATCGCATAAGCCGCAGTGAAATTGTCACTTTGACAGCGGCAAAAGTTACCTGCAACTTTTCCAGCGACAAATGCACTAGTGGTTTTTTCACTTATTCATTTTCGAACCAATTATCGCATTATCCTTTCCCATATGACTAGTTTGACGTCTGTCAGTAATTGATTAGTTATGTGAATTTCTTGTTCGTTAAATTGTCCTGCCGAATTACACTCGAAGTTTGTATTTAAACCGAGTAAATTTGTGTTGTTGCAATTCAAATCTGTTGCCTTTTAGCAATTGAACTCGAAAAACTGTCAACCTAAAAATGCTCCACCTGCGGTGTCGCATTTTTATTAGTTGATAGTTTTTCTCGTCTAATTGCTAGGCAACAGATTTTCATTACCTAAACAACCCAAATTTACTCGGTAAAATACAAACCTCTTGTGCAATTATAAGTGACAACAGCGATTTAGGTTTGCAAATACTCCTCCGACATTAAAGAAAAGGCCAATGCTGCAGCGTTACCCCAGATATCGTAATAAAAGTAGGTACTTAAAGTTTTATTCGGCATTCGATCAATGCTGCACAAAGAAAATTGACAGGAAGAGCAATGAAGTTTCGGGCTAGCATATTTTTACGCGATTTAATTCTAAGGTGGGTAACTAAATCATCGTCGCTATGGCCTAAGTATTAGATGTTGAAAGCAACTTTAACCGTGCAGGAAATTGTAGCTATCAAATATCCAGAATGACTTACATTTCTAAAACGCCAGAATGTAGGTTACAAAACACAGTGTAATTGACGTTTCCATGGAATAGTTATTTACATATGAGTATGGTAAATCGAAGTTTACGTTAACGAGTGAGATGTTTACTGTCGAAGCGTAGCTGAGGCAGGAATTTCGAAATGAGTAACGTAAACTGATTTAACATACAAATAATGTAAAACATTTTATTTCATACTCTCTAAATTCCATAACAAAAATTGAAATCATTTTTGATTAGAATGTCGTACACATTCAAATAATAGCAAAAGTCGATCACTTGATTTATTTGACCTGACAGTACCTTGACAAGCTATCAAATTAATATATACGTTGTGATAGATGTCAGTTGATGTCGCTAGGTAAAAACTTTCAGTCTGGTAAAGTACAAGGATGCTATACTTATACTAAATTATTTCATTTTGGCAAAATAATACATTTTTCATCATGAGCAAAATGCTCACGCGCAACCACTCGCGTAACATTTCACCTAGCGACCACTGACGGGTTAAATACTCATTGCTTTTAGATAATTTAGTAAAGATGGGTTTATTCAGGGAGGGGTACGGAATCTTCGTTCCCCACATCTTGTTTCCCACATTTCGTACCCCACATCTCGTTCCCGGGACATTTCGTCTTTACACATCTCGTACCCGGATCTTTTGTTCCCAGACGGACTTAAATAGTACTTTTAGCACATTTTCATTGGAAATGCAGCTTTACGTTACGTTACTATAGGTATGGTAAGTCGGGAGCCTTTTACAAATAACGCAACTATTTAGTCGGATATCGTAGTGTCTTATAGTGACGACGGCTAGTGGTTAGGCTGGTACTTATTGCTGGACATCCGTTAATAATAAAATACTGATCTCCCTGGACGTAAATGCGCGTAAGCCCCTTCAATGCATTGAGGACTTATTTGTTCTTTCATCAACGTACATCATATTTAGAAAGTATGATTATTGTATATGACTATACAAAAGCACCTGAAGGTGACATCTTAAAAATATGAAAAATCATTAGATTAATGAGATATTAAGGAGATCATTAATAGGTTAAGATATGTGAAAGCAAATAACCCATTACGGGTGTAGCCTTAATTAAAATTTCTAAATTTTTATTGGTTACTTTGTAAAATCCAATTAATATATAAATTATGAAATTGTACAAGCAGCAAATTATTTGTGATTATTGTCGTGGTGTGCAAATATCGTTCTCACAAAATGGCTAATTATGTTAACTCGATTCGCGGCAGGCCAAAGTTGGTGTACGACAATCATTTATTCACGTATGTGAAAATGACAAAAGATGAACTACATGCAATTTGGGTTTGCGAAAAACGTGATGTGTGTACAGGTAGAGTGTGGACACAAGGAAAAGAGGGTGAAGTGGTTAAGGTGGTAAGAGGCCATAATCACGCAGCACAAGCTGGACGTCCAGAAGCCGTTCGTACTATCAACGGTATAAAGGAACGTGCGGTTGCAACTCATGAAGCACCACAACAAATCCTGGCGACGGCCGTCGCTGAAATTCATGCGAATGTTGCTGCTTTGCTGCCGCGTAAAGACTCTTTAAAGAGAGTTATTCGAAGTGCAAGAAATGCGGGTGATGCGCCTGCTATCCCTCGAGATGTACAAGACCTTATTCTGCCTCAAGTAAGTTCAAATTATATACCTACATAACTATAAGCAACTAACTTTCATTAGCCATTTTAGGAATATAAAGAAATCGCTGTCAATGGTATCATTCAACAGTTTTTATTTTACGATTCTGAAGCTGAACTATTACCTGGTCGGATGCTAATTTTTTCTACACCGGAAAATCTGTTGCTCTTGTCACGTAGTAGAGAATGGTTTGCAGATGGGACTTTCAGCACTGCTCCTTCTCTTTTTCAACAAATTTACACTTTACATGTGGTGCAATACAATTCAGTTATTCCCGTCGTGTATGCTCTGCTACCAAACAAGACAAGAGCAACATACGTGAAGTTTCTTCGGGAATTGAAGCGTATTCAAGTGGGACTGCAACCATCTGAGTTGATGATGGACTTTGAACAAGCTGCAATTCAAGCATTTGAATTGGAGTTCCCACAACTTCGAATAACGGGATGTTTTTTTCATTTAACACAGTCGATATGGAGAGCAAGAGCAAGGTTTGAAGGTAGGGAAAAAATCATCAATGGAATAATAACAAATAAATCATGTATGCTTTTTAGGGTCGATATGAACAAGATCATGAATTTGCTAGGTGGATTCGAATGATCCCTGCATTAGCGTTTGTTCGCTCCGAGAACGTGGCCGGCGCTTTCGAAGAATTAGTAGAAAGCGAACATTTTCCAAGAGAGGCGATCGTAATTGCAAATTATTTCGAAGATACTTACATCGGTCGAAGACAACGACGCGGGCGGCAAAATCCACTCTTTGCAACTCCGTTATGGAATATGCTTGAACGAACACTTGCCGGACAGCAGCGAACAAACAATGATGTGGAAGGGTGGCATAGAAGTTTTCAGGAAACATGCGGCATACTGTATCCTAATATATATAAGTTTATCAAGTGCTTAAAAAAGCAGCAAGGTATTCATTCCTATGAAATTACCCAACTCGTTGCTGGCAACCCCGTCAACAGACGTAACAAAAAGTATGCCGCTATTTCGGCCAGAATCAAAGCTGTTTGTGAAGATGTGGACAACCGTGAACTGTTAGATTATTTACGAGGTATCGCATATAATTATGAGTTTTAAAATGTGTTTGTTTCTGTATTGCATGTAATAATAAAAATTTTTGATAATGAAGTACATTTATGAAAAAACCATTACATAGAACCCATAATGACAGTCCATAGCAACTGTTTAATTGAGGTATGCCTTATTATATTGTTAAGTTTTCATTTTCAAGTGCATTTGTATACTTACATGCAACAATGAACGTTTTTGAAAAGTATGGTATTGTGTACGTTGACGAAAGAACAAACCATTACCTAAATTGTATAAAATACGTTAAAATACCATACCTATCTACGAATAAGCTCTACATAAGTCCGTTCGGGAACGAAACATACGGGCACGAGAAGTGGAAAGACGAAATGACCCGGGAACGAGATGTGGGGTACGAAATGCGGGGAACAAAATGTGGGGAACCAATATTCCGTAAACCATTCAGGGATCATTTGAAATACAAGGAGAATTTAATCACGGAGATGATTCGCATGTTATACGGAAGCAAATAAGAGGACAAGCTCGAATTTTGGCAAAGAAAGAGTTGGAACATATGACCGCTTTTTCATATAAACAAAAAAAATATTGGCAGCTGATAAGGAATTATTATCTAAAAAAACCGTACACGACATTCCTAGTGACGACGTCGCTAGGAAATTAAAATCAGAAGGTGCTTGTGAGAAAGATTTGGCGCGAGACGATTTCGAAGCCGTTACGCTCATGTACAGTAATCAGAAACCAACTAATCACTACATCACCAAATTTTACAAAACGTCTCATATAGTTATTTATTTAAATTTAGAATGGTGTTATAGATTATGTCTAAATGTATTTAAACGAACAAAAAACGTCATCCTGTATTTAGACTGTACAGGAACTGTTATTAGAAAATTTTCCAAAGACTCCAAACGAGTCTTTTATTACGCCGGTGTCATTAGACATCAATCTTATGGTAAAGACGTTACTTTACCAATATTAGAAATGATTTCTAAAGGGTGTGGCATTTTTAACGCACATTTTAAATTTGCCGCCATTTTTGAACTACCGAATGTAAACTCACCAAATTTGGCAACTGTCAAGTTTGATGTTTGACATTCATAAAAATGTCGCGCTACACCTCGCAAGAACGTTTGTTGATTCTTAAAACCTATTATGCAAATGGGTCTAATTCCACGGTGACGGTTCGAAAGTTACGTAATCATTTTGGTGTTCATAACCGGCCATATCGCAGTACAGTAGACAGATTAATCAAAAAATTTGAGCGCACTTATTCACTGAAGGACGATAGAGACCATCGCCATGTTCGACCACGTCGAAACAACCAAAATATCGCTGCTGTGAATGAGAGTGTGCAAGAAAACCCAAACATGTCAATTCGCCATCGATCTCAGCAATTAAACCTTTCAACAAGAACTCTGGGTCGAATTATGCATGTTGATCTTCACCTTCGAGCTTACAAAATTCAGCTGACTCAAGAATTGCACGAAAATGACCATACGCAGCGCAGAAATTTTGTTAATTGGATGTTGGAACATGCTGATTTTCACAAAAAAATCATCTTTAGTGATGAGGCGCATTTCCACCTCGATGGGTATGTTAACCGTCAAAATTGTCGAATTTGGGGTACTGAAAATCCACATGCGATTCATGAAAAACCCATGCATCCACAAAAAGTCACTGTTTGGTGTGGATTTTGGGCTGGAGGGGTCATTGGCCCGTATTTTTTTGAAAATGATGCTGGTGTTGACGTTACCATCAATGGAAACAATTACCGTAACATGTTGACGACTTTTTTTTGGCAAAAACTTGAAGATATGGATGTGCCCAACCTATGGTTTCAACAAGATGGGGCCACATGCCACACGGCACGTGAAACCATGCAGTTATTGCGTGGAAAATTCGGAAATCGCATAATTTCTCGTTTCAGCGATGTTAACTGACCTCCAAGATCTTGCGATCTAACCCCATTGGATTTCTTTCTTTGGGGTTTTCTTAAAAGCAAGGTTTATGTGAACAATCCTGAAACCATCGATGCATTGAAGGACGAAATTCGTCGCTGTATTGAGGAGATTGAACCAGAATTATGCGAAAATGTTATGGAAAATTTCAATAAAAGAATGCGGTCTTGCCACCAAGCCAGAGGTGGCCATTTAAATGATGTTATATTCCATACGTAATGTCATGAACACAACTTCAAATTCCAATAAAAATATTTCAATTTCGTAATTATTTAATGTGTTTAATTTCGAATTTAAAATGTGCGTTAAAAATGCCACACCCTTTAATTCTCATACATCTCAAACTATTTCAGAATGGATTTTTAATTTTCAGTGCACAAGGGAGTTCGCGATTAATAGTGTAGTTACCGATTTTAGCTGGGCGCTTCTTCATTCTGTTATAAACGTGTTTTCCAGAGTGACCGTTTTGGAGTATCTTCAAGTGACTCACAATTTGCTACAACAAAATTCTGATGGAAATTCTGATGTGCATTGTCCTTTCATCACTGTGCATGTCTGTTGTGCCCATTTCACTAAAATAGTGGCTTCAGACGCCAAAAAATACGCAGGGAAAAACAAAGTTTTAAAGCTGTTTTTAATACGGGGAGTTGTAAATAATATAATGTTGGTCAAACCCTATTACAAGTGTAAATCACTTTTCATGGATTTTGCTACGATTTTATTAAATCGCTATTTGACCCCAGAAGTAACAATTGCTTTCGATAGATTTGTGAACCGCGAAATGTCGGATACTGATAATGAAGATGGCACATCAGAATCTCCAGACTTCTTTAGCGTAAATGAAAATGTTAATTTAAAAAGTTTATATACTAAAAGTCCATTTTACAGCAATTTTCTAGCAAAGCATTCGATTGTTACGCTGGCAGAATCAGATTTAGAGTTAAATCAATGGTATTGTCCCAAATTTTTAGATATTTGCGTTCAAAAATATATGCCATATTTGCCATTTTGGTCAGCATTGCTCGTTAACACCGGTACTACTAACGTTTTATCAAACTCATTGGTGGAAGGTTGGTTTAACGTAGTTAAAAATTTTGTTGTAGATAAAAAAAAAAATTTAAAGTGTTCCAGGTTTATTCAAAAAATGCGCGATTATTTAGCATGCAAAGAAAAGGAAATAGAATATAAGTTACTCCTTAAAAAACCTCGTAAGTGTACACTCGTTGACGAATTCAATGTTGCAAAAGAATCATGGAACCGCACACCTAAAATAAAAACGACCCATCTCCGTAATACGTCATTTTTGCAACGTTTATCGATAGCCGATAAACCTAAAAGCTTAGAAAACGTCGGTTCTAGTGTTTTTTTCGATAACGGAGTTTATAAATATTATTATCTATTTAAATGTAATAGTTCCTTAGTAAATGGCTACATAGCCAGATATGATTTGCCTAACTGTTATTACACAGATTTAGATTATTACGATTATTTTACACTATCTGGTAAGGAGTGGGTAGCTTCTTTTATAATAGATTTATTTGCCCAATTAGTTATTAAAAATAAAACTGATTACTTCGCTGTAATAAATACCCCAATTATTAATTTTACTGTTGAGAATGAAAGTCTTAATAGTCTTTGCTACTTAAATGATGGTAAAATAGTTTTTATTCCTATTTTAGAAAATAGTCATTGGTTTTTGCTTGTTGCCAACGGCAAAACAAAGGAATTTTATGTATTAAATAGTTTGCCCACCTTTGATTTTTTTGCAGGACAAAGGTACTTTGAAAGGTTTGTCAAGATCTTAGAATTTTTAAATATAAACATAACACCGTGGAAATTAACAAATGTAAAACACGAAAAACAATTTGACGGTTACAATGGCGGTGTATTTCTAATGTATTATATTAAAAATATTGTCAGCAACAATGGAGTACATACTTATAATAATAACCTCGACATAGCACAAATTCGTAACTTTATACAACATTACTTGCTACAAAATTCTTTGTCAATGGTTAATTATTGTTTAAATTGTTCCCGTTCAAATCCACCAAACGTGTCATCATTCTGGCATAAATGTACAGTATGTAACATGTGGAAGAAGGCGCAGTTCTGCAGTAAAACTGAAATGAGATGCTGTAATGAAGTTTGCACGCCATCAGCACACAACTGGATTCAGTGTGATAACTGCAAACGTTGCATTCATTATAATTGTCTTCCAGACTTTAGTTTAAATCCCGATGGATATCAAACACAACAATTTAAGTGCAAGGTCTGTAACTCGGCCCGTATTTGCAAACCTTACCTATTGAGACGGTGAGCGCGTTTTGAAGAGTCCTCCTTGTTTTTCCAAATTTGTTAGGAAAACGCTGGGTTTCGACCCTTACCTATTGAGAAGGTGACCGTTCAAATGAAAAGATCACCATTCCTCCACTTTGCACTGCACTGTTTATGAATTGTAGGAAATATCGTTTTTTCCCATTCCCATAACTTGCAAGCCCTACTTACATGGTAAACAATCAAGAGGTAACGGTAATCTAATCAGTAGGTATATAAATTATTGCATAACTATATCACTAACTATAAGATAAATGTATGATCGCATGGTGATGGTATTAGTATAATTCATATTATATCGTACCTACTTTTATATATTTTATATATATATATATATAAAAGTAGGTACGATATAATATGAATTATACTAATAGCTTTGTTGTGTATTTAATTTAAGGGCATCGCTTGTGTAATAATCTGAGAGCACTTGATAGTTAATTCCGCAACTGCCAATTTGAAAATGCCACCGGATTTTCCGAGCGGCCGTAATATAGTAATCTGATTTCGC